TCAATTCTTAAAGAAGATTGAGAATTGAAGAATCATAAAAATTGAAAATTTACTTACCTTGAGAACTTCTTGCATCATTTTATCAACGTTGTCGGAATTAGAACCAAAGGAATTAACGAGATCGGCGAAGAATCGTAGAAACAGAGGTAAAGAGCATCCATGGACAAAAGCACCAACAGAGCCAATTCCCATCAAGACATAATCTAATCCATCTGCGAATCTGAAAAGCTCTTTAAAAGCAACTCCTGGTATCTCTGCTTTTTTAGGCTCATCTACTACTATTGTCGGAGTAGGAGGAGAAGACGGAGGAGCACCACCGCCGTTTTCCATTTTTTCCGGCGAGTTTTGTCGGAGCTCTGTTTCTGGGTTAAGAGATTTGTCGGAGGAGTGAAGCTCAAGTCCTTGCATTTCCGACCAACGCCATTGTTCTTCTTCCACTGACTTTATTTCTTCTTTTTCTTGTTCCTGATCAGATTCTTGGGACATTTGTGTAGATGTTTTCTTACTTCAGCTTTATAGAGAACCTCAAAAACAACAACGAGAAAGAGAAAATATATTCCTATTTTTTTAATTATAAATATTTGTTTTAAAAAACCCTAATTCTGATACCTTCTTCTTCACAACACTTTAAATTTTATAATAATCACTCATCTTCTTCCATACTAATCCCACTTACGTTTTTCTTAATTAATTATTTCCTTATTTATTAACCTTTTTACCGCCTACTATTTCCTTAATTAATTATATGTTACTATAATTCTCGGGATATAGTGATATTATCACTATCCTATTGGTCAGTCAATTTGTGTATTTATTCTCTTTATACCAAATTTGTAAGAAATAAATATAGATTTACCAAATTGGATTTTCGTGTTGTGATTTTCAGCCCACGCTTGATTGTTGTAAATTTTTTTGCCTTTTCCACATTTGTTTCCATTTTCTTGGATTCGTTTGTTTAGTGGGTTTTTTTTATTTTGTCACCAAAAGAAAAATAATAATTTAATTTTTTAGTAAAGTGTTGATTTTTATTTGTTTTTCCTTCGGTTTCTTGTTGCGTAGAAAACAGAGAAAGTGACAGATGATGGAAGAGAGATTGATGGAATCCGACATAGAACACTGTTCTAAATTGGAGATAATTTTGTTTTGACTCCCAATATTTTTGCTCTTGATTATTCTCTCTAAAAAAATTTTTTTGGGTCATTTTGTGTATAACC